GGGGAGCACCAGCCCCTTGTGGCTGGTGAGTTTCCCCTCTTGGCCCATAAGGCCCATATCTTTTGCCGGGGGTGCCCGGAACCCCCTCTGGTGACCTGATAAGTATCTGGTACCCCTAGAAACCCTTTCGGTGTCCGAATACCATCGTCCTATATATCAATCTTTACCTCTCGACCATTTCAAGACTCGTCATCATGTATATGATCTCATTAGGATTCCGAACAACATTCGGTCACCAAATCACATAACTCATATAATACTATATCATCATCGAACGTTAAGCGTGCGGACCATACGGGTTCGAGAACTATGTAGACATGACCGAGATACTTCTCCAGTCAATAAGAAATAGCGGAACCTGGATGCCCATATTGGCTCCTACATATTCTACGAAGATCTTTATCGGTCGAACCGTTATGACAACATACGCAATTCCCTTTGTCCATCGAAATGTTACTTGCCCGAGATTCGATCATCGGTATCTCTATACCTAGTTTAATCTTGTTACCGGCAAGTCTCTTTACTCGTTCCGTAATACATCACCTCGTGACTAACTCCTTAGTTGTTTGCTTGCAAGCTTATGATGTATATTACCGAGAGGGTCCAAAGATACATCTCCGATACTCGGAGTGACAAATCCTAATCTCGATCTATGCCAACTCAACAAACACCTTCGGAGATACCTATAGAGCATCTTTATAATCACCCAGTTATGTTGTGACGTTTGATAGCACACAAGGCATTCCTTCGGTATCTGGGAGAGTTGCATAATCTCATAGTCGAAGAAATATGTATTTGATATGAAGAAAGCAATAGCAATAAAACTGAACGATCATTACGCCAAGCTAACGGATGGATCTTGTCCATCACATCATTCTCCTAATGATGTGATCCCATTATCAAATGACAACACATGTCTATGGTCAGGAAACCTTAGCCATCTTTGATCAATGAGCTAGTCTAGTAGAGGCTTACTAGGGACATGGTATTTGTTTATGTATTCGCACATGTATTTAGGTTTTCAATCAATACAATTCTAGAATGAATAATAAACCTTTATTATGAATAAGGAAATATAAAACAACAACTTTATTATTGCCTCTATGGCATATTTCCTTCAAAGATTGCAATCACCATTGAAAGGTCTTTGTGAGAGTTTCATCCATGTAGATCTGGTGGATGACTTTGGTGGTGAGATGCAAGCTATGGACGAAGTCTTGACGCGGAGGGGTGGTTGTAAAGTGACAATGATGCGTCACATGTAGTTGTTGGGATCAATGAAAAGTGGTGACAACAACACAATGAGTGACTAAGGTGGTGATGCTACTTGAGAACCCGATCTCGAGCTCCGGAGTGAAAGCCTAGGTCTGGCTCAAGTTGGGTATACCAGTCGATGACCATGTTTTATGTCGTTACCTTGTTCAAAGAATTGCTCTCAATGCTTGGTCTAACTTTTCAGCGTGAAAACCTAGATTATCGCCTTGGGTTGTTGGATCTGGTGATGGTGGCGCCCCCTTCCTGAAGGCGTTGTTGTTGAAGAGCCTCATCGTCCGTGTGGTGTCACCAGAAGGTCGGTGCAGTTATAGTTTGCTAATATCGGATCTGATCGCTTTGTTTTTCTCTTATTTCCTCGCTTACACATAACTTTGATCTTATGTGAATTTGCTATTTGCCAGCGTGTGTTGGTGTTGTTGTGTGTGTCCTAACTATGCAAAGGACAGGTGTGTGCTGATTGTGTTTGTATCCTCTTGATGCTTCATTTTTGAGTTAATAAAACCCACCCTTTATCAAAAATATAAATAATAATTCCATAGAATTTCAAAGGTCCATGTGGAGTGTCATGACATGGTGATTGGAAGTTTAGTACCAGCTCATGAGTGGATGAGAGTTGAGCCCCTTTATATGGGATTCTATTCCACATGTTATTAGAGCTTGAGAAGAGGAGTGGCTCCTGTGTGATCCTCCTCCGCCTGCCTCACCCCACAGACATCGTGTTTCGTGAATGGGCTCAGCTCATACCTCATACTATGTCATGTGTGCGCTTATTTTTGCCATTCTGGAACGTATAATTAATTTGGTAATTAATTGCAAGCCATTGTCAGATAAGCTACGAATCCGAGACATCGGATCACGGGGTTGTTGCCGATTCGGGTGTGAGCCTAACCCCACGTCTCCCTACCCCGACCTCTTATATATTAGTGGGTCGGCAACGGCAACCCTAGTCGTCACGCAGATCATATCACATCTGTTCTACCTCCTTGTGCACAACCCATTGATGTCCGACGCTCATTGTTGATGCTTCTGCCTACACAGTTGTACGAGGGAGCACACCTTCGAGACCCTGCCTTTTGCGACCCTGCAGCGGGGAAAGGGTGATTAGATCTTTGGGGAGCGTCTCAGGCGCGACTGGTCGCTAATGTTCGTATATGTTCTCTACTTCGACTACATCCTTGGCATTCCCGGCTTCGACATGGGTGAAAACTTCGAGGCCGCCAAGAAGAAGGCTATCGAGGATGTTGTCGCTGTAGTGGTGGTTTTAACCTGGATGAATCCGCTCTATGAGTAGAAGTAGCGCTACTGCTAAGTACTAGTACTAGTAGCACTATTATTGCTGGTTGTTGCCCTGCGCTACTACTAAGTAGGAGTGGCGTTCCTAAATTAGCCCGCGTTAATGCTAAGATTTTATCTATAAGCTTTCTCCTAGTAGTGTGGCCAACTGTTAGATATGGTCTCTTAAGCCCTCTGATGTTTATTCTTGTGTTAGTCGTACTAGTTGTTTACATGGATGAACCTGCTCTATGAGTAGTACGTTCTCACCTGGTAAGCTATCCGTATGAATCCATACCTAATAATAAAGTGGCTATTGTTTCTTGCGATACGTCACGGTAATTGCCCCTAAACTTGTAAAATATCACCCACCAATGCCACCTATAAGTGATAAAAAAATGTTTCATACGGGGAAATTCCCAGCCTGGGCCGGCCCATGCAGTAGGGACCTCCTTTTTTTAAAAATAAAAGTAGGGACCTCATATACTGCGCTTTGCGCGCTGCAAGAAGACGCATCCCCCATTTGGGTCGGCCCAAGTCCGGGCGGCCTGTTTTTTAAATTTCTTTTTTTTTCCTTTTTTTTATACTTTAAACAATTTGGGAGTTCAAAAAAGTTCCGAAAACTGAAAAAAGAGAATTTTTAAATAAAATATTTAATAAATCATAAAATTTTAGTGGATTCAAAAAATGTTTGTGATAAAGACTGTTTGCTTATTCGAAAAAATTCAATTTTTTGAAAACAAATGTTTGAGAGATCGAAAAATGTTCATGATTTTTTTAAAAGTCTGCGTATTAAAAAATGTTCATGAGATTGAACAAGATTTCGCCAATTCAAAAAATGTTCATGAATTGAAAAATATGCTATAAATTAAAAAAATCGTTACTTACAAAATATTTTATTCATTCATAAAATGTTCGCCGATTCAAAAACTGATCATGCATTTTCAAAAATGTTTATTAAATCAAAAATTGTTCCACCAATTTCCAAAAATATGTTTGTCCATTTTAGAAATGTTTGCTGATTTAAGAAAATTGTTAAAAAAATGTCCACGAATTTTAGAAAATGTTTGAAAATAGTATTAGATGTTCATGAATTCAAAAAATGTTCTTGATTTTAGAAAATGTTTGAAAATTTGTAAATGTGTTCATGAATTTTAAAAATGTTCACGATTTCAAATATGTTCATGAATTTAAAAAAAGTTCATGATTTCACGAAATTGAGAGTGTTAGTGTATCTCGATGATGCAGCAAAATGTGATCATGGCCATTGGAGATTATGATTTTTTTTTCTTCCGTTGCAATGCACGGGCCCTTTTTCTAGTTTAATATAATATTGCAATCATTATTATTTATTATGGATTAAATTAATTGGAAAATCGCTAATTTGTCCAACATTTTCCTTATCCCAAGTTTTGTCATAGGGAAAGGTGTGACAGCTCCCGGGTGCAGGGGCACCCTCATGAACAGTAACTTCAAACAATATGAAAAGAAAATCAAAAAATCTGAAATTTTGGGGGATCAAATATGATAAAACTTTTGATGTTCTTGCAAATTTTCAGCCAGAAATAACACTCGAGGAGCCCTCATCAAAAAAACAAAACTACTGCTCAAAACTACACATAACTTTGAACACTGATTTTGTGTTTTTTTTGTGAGGGCTCCACGAATGTTTTTTGATGCTAAAACTTTGCATGAACGTTGAATGTTTGATCATATTTGATCCCCCAAAGTTTTAGATTTTTTTGATTTGTTTTTCATATTGTTTTGCATTTACTGTTCATGAGGGTGCCCCTGCACCCGGGAGCTGAAAGTCCAGTCTCTTTGTCATATCACGTAACGGCATATATCTACTCCTACAATGGTACGGATTTCTGTACTCTTATCATACTGTATAGGCATAGTTACTTGGATAGATAAACGGATTAATCCGTGATTAATTAACTTCATTCACATGCTCTCTAGCTGCAGATGAAACTTGCAGGAGATCGTTTCATTGATTAGCCTGATACTGCAGATCGGCTACTCGTTCTAGGAAGCTCCCCTCCAATTAACTTTGCACAACATGAACTATCCATTAACTCAAGTCAAATCTGACATGGTTTTTTAAGTCAATATATGCATGGCACGATGTTTCAGTGATAACCATGCATGTAAGTTTACTCCCACTATGCCACTATGGATATGGGATAACCCTAGAAGGAAGCAAAGGTGCAGGAAGTTGCTGGCATACAATGGACATTAACCAGTTTACTTTCAGCTGCCAAGTCGTCGCCTACTCGGTCAAACAAGATTAGCGTGATCGGAGCCGATCCGCTTGACATAAGAAAGAACCCACTAGGTCAAGTAGATGCTCGAACATACATTTGCAAGATCACCTCAATGCTATATATACCCATTCATTTCCATGGTCTACCATCAGCCGATCTCATCTAGCACTTGGCTACACTCTCACAATGGCTGCCATTAAGCTTGTGTCACTTAGCTTGGTTGTGCTGCTGAGCATTGGGTTAGCCAGCGCCACTAGGGTAGTTAGATACGCCAGCTCCACGGGGACAGGCTCGGGAGTGGGGAATGGTGGTGGCACTGTGAACGGTAGCGGTGGAGGGACTGGGAGTGGCAATGGGAATGCCTACAGTGGTAGTAGTGGAGCCCATGCAAATGCGGGAGGGGGCGGTAGCGGGGGTGGTGCGTCGCAGGATGGCGGCACCGGACATGGCGCTGGGTCCGGCGACGGCTCAAGCTCTAGCTATACGAGCGACGGAAGATATACCTATGGTGGTGATTCTTATGCAGGCGGTAATGGTGCCGGCAGCGGCGGCGGACAGGCAGCGGGCCCTGGTTCCAGCGGTTACGGAGCTGGTGGTGGTGCTGGTTCTGGCTCTAGCGCGGCAAGTGGTGGCTGGTACCCCTATGCGAATGCCAATGCTAATGGTAACGGTGGAGGCACAGGAACTGGTCAGAACGGCGGCGGCGGTGGCGGCATAGGAGGTGGCAGCGGTAATGCTGGTGCATACCCTTAAGTTATCTTTATCTATGTGATAGATCTGAAGATGGAGCCCAGACTTTCATGTTTTTTCTTTCTTTCTGTTTGCACCTTGTGGCCCCGTTAGTTTGCGGTGTTTAAGTTCTTGTATGATTTTTCATGTATACTAGTAGTATGGATGAATCAATAATGGGCCCCATCAACTTGTGTTATTACTCTTCGCTACCTTGGAATTTCAATTCATGTTTCTTGTCTCTATATCAGACCGACAAATGAAGTGTTTCAGAAAACGGTTAAATACCTGGAATGCTGGAAACCAAGCCCCTTGCTCTAGTTGGGTAGAAGGCCGTTTTGGCTATTGGGTGCATATGCTCCCTAATGAACAGTGAATTCAAAATAAATAGTAAATAAAATTTAAAAATTCTGAATTTATTTGTAGATGTTCTTGTTAGTGTAACAAGTGTGCTTGTCAATTTTCGTGCGAAATAGAATGACGGTGCTTCGTCGGTAAAAAAAGCAAAATAAATGTAACATTTGGAGGTAACATTTGTCGCTCGACTTGTGTTTTTTGCACAGATCAAAATACTTGGGCTATCCTCCTAAAAATTTGTAGGTAGCGTTTTGGTGTGACAATGGTCACATCTATTCTTTTCAAAAAAAATTACATTTGGAAAAAACAAATTGATGGGCAGGAGCATATGCTTCCAAGAGCTGAATTGGATTTCCGTATAGTATACAGCTAAACGAAGAATATGAGGCCGTAATATTTCGGGACGGAGGGAGTAAGTAGTTAGCAAAAGCGTAGAAAAAAATTTGTTTCGTGTGTGGGTTGGGAAGGAAAGGCCTCTGAATCAATCATTGCATTTCTTCGTGTGATGTTTTCTTTGCTCCCTTGCTTGGGCTAGGTTGTACACGTCACACATACAAATACAAATTATTCACTACCAGCTATATCTTTGTAGGTCTACTCCATAAAGTTTTCCTATTTTATAGTTTTGTAGGGTGGGGGGCATATGTCCCCTAGCTGTGATGTATGTAACACCCTGATAATCAAGCTACAGTAACCTCACCCTAATATGCCATGTCATTATGTCTCCTAGTCGTGACTTATTTTACATGGATCAAATGGGATGTTGACCCCTGCCAAGTTCCACAAAGGGGTCTCATTCTCGATTTCGAAGAGGAAGGCATCCACGGGTCGGGCGGCACCTCTTGGCGTATTGGTATAAGAATGCAGCTTGCAAATATTCCTGCAGAAAAATGTATTCTCTATCAGAAACAATCTAACATGTTCAGGTAACTCATATATGGATATGATTAAGTACCTCCCGATGTGGGTGATGCGGAGGAGGAAGACCCAAATGAATAAGGCGACGAGGAGCACTAGGAAGCCTTCTTTCGGGTCACTCATGTAGACCTCAAAAATGAAGGAACAAATGATGCAAATGATGTAGAATATGCTGATAAAAATAATCCCTATCATGCCATCATTCGTCTTGTAGAATTTTTCATTCATTACCAACACCATTATAGCCACCGCAGTGTAGAACGCCATCGTGTTCATCATCTTGAAATAATAGTATTTGTTGTTGAATTTGTTTTGCAATATAGATGCGCCCGTATCGTGTCATTTGGGACCGTCCGTGCCATCTTGCCAATAGCCTCCTGGGGGGCTCATGCCGGCTTGGTAGGACGACGTCGCCACAAAAGACGCAATGACCAACACCAAATTGACCTTCTACTTCAACAATTTCCTCGGCCCGTCGACAATGTCATACCCTTGTTCGAGCATGAGCTCCTCAACATGGTCCTAACCAGTGCATGCACACAACAGCTAATGAACGTGACCAACTCATCGGCATGGATTACGTGAAAGAAAAGAGTTTTACTCGGGTTTAAAATAAGAAGTCGATAATGCAACCTATAATGGTAGTGAATGTTAAAATACCTATGAGTTAGTGGTGCCATTAGCATGAAGTAACGTTCTGCCATTAGCATGAATGATGTTGGATAATTAGTGCTTAGTGCTAGAATTCAGAAGGACTAGAGTCCTCTCTTGATTATCCATTATCTATTCATTTGTAACTGATGTTGTAACTCAAGCTATATAAGCAGAGCTCTGGCTGATGATGTGTATCACGGCTTAAACAGCAATACCTTAGTTTACATGGTATCAGACGCCATCTGACCAATGTCCACTCCTTCCTCCTCTCTCATGGCTTCCGTGCCAGCAGCCACCACCGTCGTCACCGCGCGTCTCTCCCGCGACAACCATCTCATGTGGAAGGCGCAATTCCTCATCTTTCTACGCACCTACAATCTCCTCGGCATCGCGTCCGGCGGAGAGATGGCCCCTGCTCCTACCATGGAACAGACCACAGGCACAGGTGATGGCCGCTCCACCACTCAGGTGGAGAATCCTGAGTACACAATCTGGTACCGCAAGGACCAGACGATCCTCGGCGGCATCCTCGCCACCGTCAGTGAGGACATCTTGCCGTACGTCATGGCTGCGACCTCAGCGGCCGAGGCGTGGGGGCAGCTTGAGCGGATGTTTGCATCGCGCTCCCGTGCTTGCCTCGTTCAGATACGTGCACAACTAGCTGCTCCGAAGAGACGCGACATGACGGGCACAGACTACTTCAAGATGAATAAGACATTGGCTGACACACTTGCATCCATTGGACAGGCCCTTCATGCTGATGAGATAGTTTCTTACATGTTATCAGGCCTTGGAGCGGAGTACGAGTCCCTTGTCGACTCACTGAATGTGAAGCCCAATTTGACTCTTGATGATGTCTATGCTTCTCTTCTTGGCCATGAGCATCGTCATGAGCAGTACAGCTCAGATCTCCAGCTTGGCTCGAGCTCCTCGGCTAGCTACGTCGGTGTCGGCTCCAACCACTCCGCCAACTTCGTACGCAAAAACCCGGGACGTAGCAATCAAGGTGTACAAGGCCACGGAAATTATGGTGGCGGTCGAGGCCGCGGCCACAGCATTGGCGGAAATGGTCGAAGCGGAGGTCGTGGCTATGGTGGCAACAACGGAAATGGTGGGGGTCAGCGCCCTACTTGCCAGCTGTGTGGCATAAAAGGGCATGTTGCCCTGAAGTGCCGCAAGCGCTTTGACTCCTCCTTCCATGGTGACGAGGAGCAGCACTCAGCGAATATCGTGGGAACTAGTGCCGGGTATCAGGTTGATCCTAACTGGTACTCGGACCCGGGCGCAACGGACCATATCACCAGCGACTTGGATCGCCTCTCCTTCCGTGAGCGCTACAATGGCAACGACACCGTCCAAGTTGGCAATGGAGCAGGTTTGCACATCGAACATATTGGTCAAAGTTCTATTAATACTTCCGCTGCTAAACCTCTTGTTCTTCGAAACATACTTCATGTTCCTCATATAAAAAATAATCTCATCTCCATCCATAAACTTACCAAAGACAATGATGTGTTCGTTCAATTTCACCCTGATTTTTTTGTCATTAAGGATCAAGCATCGAAGACAAACCTGCTCCAAGGCAGATGTAGAGCCGGCCTCTACCCTATTCTGCCATCCACCCTCCACCATGTCAAGGCGGCCATGCTTGCGTCGGTCAATAAAAAGCAATGGCATCATCACCTCGGTCACCCGTCGTCCCGAGTCGTTCAGTCAATTCTTAGTTTGAATAAACATCCGTACAGTTAGACTCATGATGCATCTGTCTGTGATGCATGCCAACAAGCAAAGAGTCACCAACTTCCATATGGCTCATCTGATTTTTGTGCAAAATTTCCTTTGGAACTCATATATTCCGATGTATGGGGGCCTGTTACTATTTCAGTTGGTGGTTATAAATATTATGTCTCTTTTATCGATGCATTTAGCAAATTCATTTGGATCTATTTGCTGCGTGCTAAATCTGATGTTGAGGCAGTTTTTATTTGTTTTCATGCCCATGTTGAACGCCTTGTTAACAGGAAAATTCAATGCATTCAATCTGATTGGGGTGTTGAATATCAACGTTTGCATAAATAGCTTCAAGCTCAAGGCATTGCACACCATGTTTCATGTCCCTACACCCATCAGCAGAACAGCGCAGCTGAACGCAAACATCGGCATATTGTGGAAACTGGACTCGCTCTTCTTGCTCATGCTTCCATGCCCGTTCACTTTTCGGATGAAGCATTCCTCACAGCTACCTTTATTATTAATCGTCTACCAACACGTGTCATAGATAATGCATCTACCATCGAGCGTCTTTTTGGCACCAAACCCGACTACACTATGTTGAAATCATTTGGTTGTGCATGTTGGCCACATCTTCGCCCTTACAATTCTAGAAAACTTGCTTTCCGATCCAAAGAATGCATCTTTGTTGGTTATAGTTCACACCACAAGGGATATAAGTGTCTTGATGCTAGTACTGGACACATATATATTTCTCGTGATGTGGTTGTTGATGAAGGGGTTTTTCCATTTGCTGGTAAGTTTGAAGCTACGCTTGCACCTGCCAATTCATCAACACTCCCATACGTCCAACTTTTCCCTCCCATCACACATTCACCACCCCATGTTCCAACCCCAAGCGGAAGTACTAATAGTTCTAATGATCTAATGGCCAATGTGCAGTATGTTTCTTTTGATGTTCATGCAGATTCTGCTGCTGATTCGGCGTCAACGTCATCTGTGCCTCAAAGCATGGATCATGAAACAATAGTGGCTTCTCAACAAACATCGCGTGGATCTGCAGCGGCCGACTCTGACACTTATGGGTCGTGTCTTGGCTCAGATTCTCCCGCCACCTCGAGCTCAGGTTCTTCCGCG